GAGGGTAAATCTGTCAAAAGAAGTAGTTTTATACATCGTAGGAAATAAATAGATACAGTACAAGATATCTCTATTCAACAGTTACTCACAGTATGCAAATGTGGGCCAGTGATATCAACTCCACCAAGAACCAAAGCAGCTGAAACATATCCTTGGTGACTGATTGAATGAAGAAACAGTTAGGTATTCCAGAGAAGCAATTTCAGTTACACATAAGAGCCACTAACTGTGCCAGGAAAAAAAAAAAAAACTAATAACTATGATCACCTGAAGAGATGAGATTTTAAAAGTGTAAGAGCAGTGATAACCCTGGATTCACGACCTGTGTGATATCTGTGGAGCTTCAGTTGGGAACTGACCATGTCTAGGAAATAACCACAATAAGAGGTAAGACAGACAAATGTAACACAATGAAGCAAATATTACTAGTCAATAATTCAGGTCCTAATACAACAAATGAAAAAGTAAAATAGTAAAATAGCAATTAGCAAACTACCAGTAACAGCTTCAGTATCAGCAGCAGTCCCTGCTCCACAGCAGTAAATATTAGGAGCCATGTAGTGAATTTTCTCACAATTCTTATCGGCAACTATGGGTCCTTCAGTGGCACGGGTGTCTGCACCAAGGATGACACCATCCTGAGGACATAAGATAATTATTAAAACCGCAAGCAAGCATAATTTGATTATGGGTGCAGGAACCATTTTATTCTCAATCATTGTGACAATGTCATTATGGCTGTAACAAAATCTATATCAACCATACAGATCTCCAACTATGAAAGAAAGGCCTCCCTTCCCCACCTTACTAAGTTCTATCTTTGCATTAGCGCAAAACACTTGCACAATCTGAAACATGCCTCAACCTCAAACAATTACACTTCACAATTGAGTTGTTAATTGTATACCCATTACTAATTCCACTCTTGTTCTGCAACCCTAGGAAAACGATCATTCCAAATCGGCTTTCACTTCCCATCCTAGTCTCTCATTACACACACACACACAATACTAAACCCTAAACCCTAAACCCTAAACTGACACAGTAATGGACTACCACTACTAAAACTATCAAATTAATCTTTGAAAATTCTAAAATTAAAACACACACGTTGCCGAAATTGAAAGCATTTTACTACAAAATAATAAAATTGAAAGATCGAACATAAAGGAAGATAAAAACCTTAAAAATCAAGCCAACAATAGTAGTTCCAGTTTTGAGGAATGAAGGAGGGCGAAGCCCTTTGTTGGCCAGCATGTCATTCCTTCTGCACAAATCGAAGTTGAACCCACCCTTTGCCGGGACATCCATCGATCCCTTCGCCATAGCTATTCCAATTCAAATAAACCCTAATATAAACACACACGCACATACATACATTAATAAGTACATGTATATTTACATATCAATTCAAACATTTAAACGAGAGATAGAGAGAGGAAAAGGTCGTAAGCAATTACAGCTGAGCAGGAAACTAGAACGACGTCGTTAGGATTTTCGGGAGACTTACCGGAGCTGAAACTTTGGGACTGTAGGAATTGGCAGATGAGCAGAAGTGCAGGTGTGCAGAACCAACAGAAAGAGAGGAAGGCTTGGGAAAGAAGAAGAAAAAATGTTAATTCCAAAAAAGCCCTCGGTTACTTTCAACTTGATTATAATAAGTTCTCATTTTTTTTTTTATTGAGAAAAATGTCAAATAAGGCTCTGTTTGGCAAACCTAGCTGAAAAGCTATAAGCTAGGAGCTGATAGCTGAAAAGGAGCTGAAAGCTGAAAAGCTATAAGCTCGGAGCTGAAAATTGAAGAGCTGTTAAGCTAGCTGTTATGATTGAAAGTGTTTGGTAAAATTAACTTTTTGATAAGCTGATAAATGTAAAAAGACTAAAAAAGACATCTTCATAAAATTTAAATTAGTTTGTTTACATATTAAAATTTAACATTTCGTCTTCCAAAAAAAGTAAACACTTTTTAAAATAAAACTATTAGCATGATCATGATCTAGCATCGCATAATGAAGTAGCAATATTGTTGCGAATCTCCTTCATCTCCATAGAGGTGTGACTTAAATTTTCGTTGATGGAGATATTACTACTTGAATCTTGAAGTTCATCGGGCGGTATGTAATCTGAATGCTGCTCAAGCACATTAAACATCATGTCATCTTGTGAATTCTTCCGAATATAATTATGTAGTGCAAATGTGGCCATAATAACATCAATTTGGGTCTCCTCACTAAACTGCAGCATTTTAGCAAGTATCTTCTATCTCTTATTCAATACTTCAAACGATCTCTCAATACAACTCCGAAGAGAATAATGTGCACGATTGAATGCTTCTTGAGCATTAGTTAGCGACTCTTGTTCAAATTGAGATTGAATCCATATTGCTAATTTAAAAATAACATTAATAATAATAATAATAATAATAATAATAATAATAATAATAATAAGCTAAAGTTTTAACATAATTGTTTAGCAGGAAACAAGACTAAGGAAAGGATTGACGTGAAAGTTAGGATAGGGGAAGAGAAAGGGTTTTAATTCATAAGGTTAAAATATGTCATTACTTTAAAATAATAAGGGTAAAGATGGAAAAAAAGTTAGGAAGCTAGTAGCTTATTTTGAAAAGCTACCTAAAGTAGCGTTCTAAAATAAGCTCTTATTTTAAGCTAGGAGCTTATTTTGAGAACATTACCAAACAGAGCTTATAGCTTATTAGTAGCTTAAAATAAGCTATAAGCTCCTAGCTTAGCGTTGCCAAACAGAGCCTAAATCCTTAAATTTTACTAAAAATTTAATTAAGAACTTAAATGTTTATAAGTTGCAATTAAATCCACAAATAAATTATTTTGGAATAATGAAATTCACTTACTTGTTGGTGACCTATAATTGTAGGTCAATTAGGATTCTGACGGAACTCATACGAACTTCTGGCAAATATCTGACCATTTCTGACAAATTAGTTCAAAATTTAAAGATCGACGATCGTTACGGTTGTCGGTCGCTGAATTTTGAACAAGATTACCGGAAATGGTCAAATATTTAAATTCTTGACCTTTGGTTAAGGCTGGATGATGTTGTCTTTATGTTCAACTCAATTTTCAACCTTAATATGATCATTTTTTTCAATTGCAAAAATATTATGATGTCGTCTTTATGCTCAACTCAACGATGACTTATTTAATAAAATATTGAAGTAGTGAATATTCATTTTAATCTTGAAAAACAATATAGTTTTAACCAACCGGAGACAACTTGGAATCATAAATTATATTCTTGGCCTTGCTCTTCATCTATTCGTTTGTTCTTGAGTAAAGCAGCCAAGAAATCTCACCAATATTCTATATTCTTTGCTCATGACTTATGGTTGGGTATCCAACCCTAATAGCATATTGTTTCTACTTTTACAACTTTTCATTTTGGTCCCACAAAATCCAACCTTAAACAAGTAGTAGGGCAACTTCAATATATCTATAAATATATTTCCTTGTTAATTAGCAGATCATTGTCTCTATGTGTACTTTACAACCTAACATGTGTTTGTTGTGATCATATTGATGAACTAATTAATTAATATTATATTAGTGAGAAATATGAACACTGGTTTACAATTTTAAACTAATTATTATTATTATTATTATTATTATTATTATTATTATTATTATTATTATTATTATTATTATCTACAAACTTAATACGGCCAATAAAGTTAGGTCCCTCTAACATATAATAAGAACCAAAACATCCACATATAAGTTCTCCAATGTCAATTGTTATAACTTCAACATTTTCAAAAAATCATTCTAAACAGGATTTGACTAAAATTCAAATTCAAAAACAAAACAATATATAATAAAAGAAATTCAATACTTTTAAAATGTATTCTAGCAATTTGTTATTTGATTTTCTAATTGATGATCATATAGATCAACTCATGAATATATGTCCATACGCATGAGATGTGGATGAGATAGTATAGGTCTCTTCGTGCTGAGAAAGTACTTGACTATTATTTGAGGTCTTTTGATCACAAAACTCTTTATGTTCATTGATTGCTTATTAAATCTCAATTTTATTACGAGTTTAAAAAGTAATCCACTTAATAATTATATGCTAAAAAAATCAATTAAGTAAAGTCAAATGGAAGGATGAATATTAATAATTATGAGGGGATAAATTAAAGTTCTCAAAATTAAAATTTTGCATTTTTTTTTGGTTGAAAATGAATAGTTTTTACCAATGAAAGCAAGAAACCTTCTAAAGTAATTTTCCCAAACAAAAATTCCTTTCATAAGATTGCCTTTTATATCTTGTAGTATAATAATCCCAAGCATCAAGTAAATGAGTTCATCACTTTCTCAAAAGAAAATTCCAAATGTCAGATCTCATCAGTTCCTTCTTCAATTCTCTGCATGCAGATTCTCATGACTTATTAGCTTATTAAATATATTTTTTTCGTTGTGTTAATGTATACATTGAACCAATGAACCATGCATGTTAAGGTTTTAGAGCTAAATCTAGAAAAATTACTATAGTTCAGGACTGAATTGGAGATTATCCACCATAGTCTATGACTAATTTGAATTAAGCCATTATAGTTGAAAATTAAATTAGGTGTTAATAGAGGAGAAATTATCAAAATATAGTTAAAGTTACAGAGAACTCAATTAGGAAAAACCATCAAAGTAGAGAACCAAATTAAACACAAAAAGACGTTAGGACTAATAGTAAAAAATCACTATAATTGAGGTCTAAACTGAGTATTAACTCAATACAGTCTTACAGAACAAGGTCATGGGCATCTAAACTGTCTCGTTTCTTTTTGAGCTTTGAAAGGACAAGCATATATGTGCACTGTACTGCTAATAGTGCAACATCATGGGGCCATTAACATAGCTGTTTCAATTCTATAGACCATTTTGGAAGCAAGGCATTTGATTCATTTCCCCTTTACTCCATCTAACCATGCTATAAATACAACTCAATCTCAACTCAACAACCACAGCAATATCCATTTCCCTTTTCATCTCTTAATTGCTATCTAAACCCTCTCTTCTCCACCTTCCAAAAATGGCTCAAACCATCAGCACTGATAACATCCCTAGGGTGACCAACACCACTCCTATGGTGACTCCGATTCCTCCTCCTGGTACCACCATTAACCCGACCCACGAAATCATCCCTAGGACCACCGGCCAGATCAACCCGAGGGGATATACTACTACTCCTCCCACCTACCCAGTCCAAGAAGTTGTCGTCCCTGCAACCGTGGCCAACGTCAACGCCATCAATCCACTGAGCAGTGGCCTTGTTGTCCCTGCACCCCTCCCGGTGGTAGCCCCGTTGAAGGCGAAAACCGTTAATCCCATTCCGGCTGGTAGGTATCTTAGGAATAGAAGGGGAGATCTTCTTGCTAGCTCCGAGGATACCACCATGATGGACCATGTTAGAGCAACTCACGACGTGGATGCAGTCCACTACAAAGTGAAACCTCTCCTGCACCTCATCGAGGATATAATGCCTCGCGCCAATGCTGCCATTCCCGGCCACGTTCAGGTACACATGCAGTATTATAAACATAAATGTGTAATCCAACTATCAGCTTAGGCTTTTAGTTGAGATAAAACACATACTTCAATTCATATATGCATGCATCATACCTAAAAGTTAAGTGACAATAATTCAACTAACAAATGATATATATATATATATATATATATATATATATATATATATATATATATATATATATATATATATATATATATATATATATAGACCATTCTAACTCAACCGGCACGGCTAGATGCAATCTTGGAAGAGAAGGTTTTGCACTCCGGTCTCTCTGAAGTGGTTGAAGCATTAGCATATCCTGTACACAGAACATCCTCCGAGGTTACTTTATAAATCATTAATAATTTTCTTAAATTAATCTGAGGGATTTTGTACTAAATTACAATGATTAATTGATTGGAAATAAAAATATGTTACAGATGATCTGTGGATACTCAAACCAAATAGATGCACACAATATCACCTTGTCAGTCCTGAAGCTGCTAGCGAACTACTGGTGGGACGCGAAGGCGGTGATCACCTTCGCCGCCTTCGCCGAACAATACGGCGAGTTCGGGCTGGTGGTCCGCCTCTACCCCACCGACCCACTGGCGAAGTCGGTGGCGACCATCAAGCAGATCCCGGACATCATGGAGAGCGCGGAATCTCTGGGCGCCGTCAACTCCAAGTTCCGGGAAGTCACCAAGCTGGTCAGCAAAATGGTGGAGGTAACTAACCAGATTGTGGCGTTGAAGGAGATCGCCACCGAGGAGAAGCTGCTTAAGGTGAAGTACAGGGTGAACGTGTACAAGGAGCTTGCGGAATCCTTGTCGCCGGTGACGGCGGAGCAGGAGAATGTGATAGCAAAGGCTTCGTATTATGTGGTCAAAGCCGCCGTGACTTGTTCTCTGGTTATCTTCAACCTTTTGGCTGTTGGGCGAGAGTATGTCCTCAAATCCTCGAGAATATAACCATTAATGTGCAATCCAACTATAGTTTAAGCTTTTAGTTAAAATGGAACACATGCTTCAATTCTCAACCTATATATATATATATGTGTGTGTTTTGATCGTTGAATCTGTTTTAATTTGTGTGTAATATATATGTATCAGTTACTACTCCTCAACTGAAGAGGATTTGGAGATATCCACCTTGACTCACAAGCTCAGTTACATACTTGGTGATCTGCAAAAGGCGACACACATTGCTAACCAAGAAATAGGTACTATACATACTTTATTATTAGTTTACTTATATTATTTGCCATGGAAAATGCATTTTGCATGGGTATTAATACTATATTGTTGTGATGAAGGCAAGATAAAGCACACAATCAAGCGAAAAATACTTGAAGAAACCTTGGCAAGAACGCACACTGATAACAAGTACTCGGCGGAGCTCATCACATGTGGCGAAAATGACCCAACACCAATTATCCATGGAGCAGGAATTGATATCAGAAAGGTTATTAGTTAGTTTCATTTAATAATTTGCTAAAGTAGATTACGTGGTGTTACGTTGTTTTTGATCAGATATGAGCAACCTAAGTTGATTATCGTGTTACAATGTTATATGATCAGCATGGACTTGAGATGTTGAGGAGGAAGTATGTGTTCCTATTGGTATCAGATTTGGATATTCCTAATGAAGTCATCACTATGCTCCGCCATATGTATCTGGAATCGAAGCAAGATCCAAGCAGGCTGGAGAGTCAGTTCGAGATTGTGTGGCTTCCAATTGTGGACAGAAGGGCGCCATGGACTGAGGCTAAGGAGGAGCAATTCAAGCTAGTGAAAGATAGCATGCCATGGTATTCAGTGTCTCACCCTTCAAAGATTGATGAAGCAGTGTATGGGTATGTGAAGGAAGTATGGGGTTTCACCCACAAACCCTTGCTGGCTGTTGTGGATCCTCAAGGAAAGCTAATAAACATCAATGCATTGCCAATGTTTTGGATTTGGGGAAGTGTTGCATTCCCCTTTAACAAACTTAAGGAAGAATCTCTATGGAGTGAAACTTCTTGGAGCATGGCACTCTTAGCTGACTCCATTGACCAAAACCTCTTTACCTGGGTAAGTAGATTTTAAAAAACAAAAATCTTATTCCTTATACCCACAAAGGCCCCACCTTGATTCAGCGGCTCATTAGGTAGGAGGACCAGTACTTGGTTTCTCCTTCCTTTTGTTATGTTTTCTTCTATGGACAGAGTTCACTTTGAACATAATCCTCACACTGTTATTACTGAATTTCGAACATTAATTGTTTTATTCTTCCAAATACTGCCTATTGGACCGGTGAGTTAAGCACGTTGTTATGTTTTCTTGATATGATACAGCTGAATGATGGGAAGTACATATGTTTATATGGAGGAGAAGACATGGATTGGATTCGGACCTTCACAAAGACAGCAAGGTATGTGGCACAACAAGCGCGCATCCCTCTAGAAATGCTTTACGTTGGGAAGATGAACGTGAAAGATAGGATAATCAAGAGGAACAATGCGACGATACAGGCAGAGGGTTTGAGCAGCATCCTTCAAGACCCAACCATGATTTGGTTCTTCTGGGAGAGGCTAGAGAGCATGTGGTTCCTCAAAGGAGAAAAGACCCCTGCAATGCAAGATAATGACACTAGGACTTACATTATCCCTGAGGAGAGCAGGGACCCCATTCTGCAGCAAGTGAAAGCCATCCTCAGCTACGACGGCAGCAACCGTGGCTGGGCGGTGTTTAGCCGAGGCCTGGCTGAGATGACCAAAGGGGAAGGCAGCAATGTGGTAAAAGTGTTGAATAACTTTGATAGCTGGAGACATGAAGTGACTGATGAGAATGCATTTATCCCTGCACTGGATAAACAGCTTCGTGGGCTGTATACTAAGCACCACTGCACCCGCATGGTTGTGCCGGCGGCGGTGGGACACTACCCGGAGACGGTGGCTTGCGTGGAGTGTGGGCGTTCCATGGAGAAGTTCTTCATGTATAGCTGCTGCCTGGATGAGTATGAGACTTAAATGCCTCCTTCATCAGCTCTTTCCATAAGGCCAGGTTTCCTATGATCCTATCCCCATACGATCTTATAAGATCGTAGCATTTGGTTACAATATGCTTTTTGTTCATCTATGTTTTGTAAAATAAAAGATGCATTGGTGCATCTTTTCATGTGTTTAACATTATTATTTACTATCTAGAATAATGTATTCATGTTTACTTGAATAATATATATGTTATATGATGGAGAACTATGTAATGTTTTTTTTTTTTTTTTTTTTTTTTTTGTTTTGTTTTGTTTTTGTTTTTTGTTTCTTATTTATTATTATCTAAAAAGGTTAGCATTGAAAATTAAAATATCAAATATCTCCCATTCAAAAGTAACGTAACTTTCAAAGAAGAAGTTTAAGTAGGTAGACATAATTTGGGTGTCTAGCTAAGAATCTTTGATCCCATGCTTTAAAAAAAAAAAAAAAAAAAAATCTTTGATCCCACATGCAATGGCACGCAACTATAAAGAAATATATATAGTTATGAAAACCCAGTCTTAAATTAATTGTTAGTTAATTTATTTGGGATTCCATGCTTTGCGCAGCCACTTTCTAGACAAAGTTTTGACAGTTATTTACTATTACTTCCAAGCAGGTTGTGATGGGGACATTATATTGACAAAGGACTTTTGTTTATTTAATTTTTTAAAAAAATTGTATATTTCTGTGTATTACAGCTAGAATTAGAATTTACGACATGCATGTTGTGATGGTACAGCTAGAATTAGAATTTACGACATGCATGTTGCGATGGTACAGTAATTATACCATGGACTAAGGTCTATTTGCATTGCAGATCTTGATCCAAAAATAATTTTTCGATTCTGTATTTATAGTTGATACTATCTGTACATGCAATTGATTGTTTCTGTACTTGTAGTTATCATATTATGTAACTTTTCAAGTTCTGTATCTATAGTTTACACATTTTGTACCTGCAATTTATAATTTTTGTACCTGTAGCTATCATATTTTGTGTTAGTAGTTATCAAGTTATTTGTTTACATGTACAGAAACGGTTAACTTTAAGTACAGAATGCATTAATCAAAGGTATAAAATTTTTATATTAGGATTCACAGTGCAATATGAATTCTGGTTCATCAGTCTATGGTATAACAATTGGTTAAGCAAAGAGGGGAGATCTTCGATTTCAATCCTAGCTAAAATATATGAGAAAATGTATAAAATTAAGTGTTGAAATAAAGTAAACGAACCTATGCTCGAAAGCTTATGAGGGAAGCCCAACAACATGCAAGATCCTTCCATCGAGCAAGGCAAATTATTAACAATTTGTGTAGACCACGGTTCAAAATAATGTACAGATGTTATAAAGGTTTAAAGAGTCAATGCCTCCCTATTGAGATTTAAATTTGATGTCTCTCATTTGAAAAGTTACAACTATGCCACTCAATCACAAGGCATTTGGTATATAACATAATAACTTAAAAATCTAGCTAATTAAGGTTTCATAATATATATAAGATTGTAATACATTGTAACATAAATTTTTGAAAAACCGTAAATATTGAAATGCGGGGGTGTCATTAGCGTTAATTAGAGCCTAAAGTAAGCATAGGATGCATGATTCCGACAATTATATGTCTTTGCCTACCGGTGAAGTATACGTACAACATATTAATATATTTGTCGAGGGACGCAGATGTTGAACAAGCTTCCTACTTTTTACTAAATGATATTGAACACTCATTGAACCAAAAAGGAAATTGATGCTTAAATCACAAAATTAACAACGCAAATTTAAGATTTTCAAAAGTAATTAATTAACATATACATACTTGTCTATATTAGTCACTTACTATTTTAAAATTTGACATTTCTTACATAACAGGGTGTGAATAAGATGACATGTGTCTCTTCTAGCTTAACCAAGATCTTAGGGTGCTTGTACTTTATCACCTTTTGAGGTTTACTCAGTACTCACCACGAATATGATTAGTCTCAGTGTGTAGGTTCTTGTTGCTGGCAAATACTAATTAAGGCATCAATCAATGTTCTTTAATTGAACCAAAAACGTGAAATGGAATGAGAATATTATTAGGGAAAACGTAACTTCTTAACCTCTTTACGCAGAACAGCAATAGTAACAAAATCTACTTACATAACACAAAGATCATGGGAATCCAAACTGTTCAATTCCATATATAGACCAGATTGGAGGCAAGGTACTTGATTCATTTCCCCTTTATTGCACTTCATTAACCTATAAATACAACCCCCTCAACTCAATGCAAATACACCACCCACAAACACACTAAATTAAACCTCTCTTCTCTTCTCAACCCACCAAAAATGGCTCAAACCACCATCAATAATACTGGTCGCCCAATGTCCGAAAGCACAACTAGGGCCACAGACACCACTCCTCTCGTGCCCAGAACTGCTCCGAACACCCCCCATAACCCGGTCCACGAAATCGTCCCTAAGGCCACCAATCTCAACCCGAGGAGTCTTACTACTTATACCCCTCATCCTGCCTACCCAGTCCAACAAGCGTACATGCCAGCAACCACAACTAATGTCGTTAGCGCCACCGCTCCACCTAGCCAGGTGGTAGCCCCATTGCAGGCCAAGATCATCCCGGCAGGTCGGGGAATTAGGAAGAGGGGAGATTTTCTTGCCAGCTCTGAGGACACAGCCATGATGGACCATGTTAGAGCCACTCACGATGTGGATGCGGTCCATTACAAAGTCAAACCTCTTTTGCACTTGATCGAGGATATAATGCCTCGTGCCCATGCTACTATTCCAGGATATGTTCAGGTATAACCGTATCACTTAGCTCAGACAGAGAAAGACCGGACCACCTAGTGGTTTAAAAAAAAAAAATTAGCTTAGCTTCCTCATATATAAATATTAATTAAGTGCTAATCCAATTAAACGTATATATATATAGAGTGTCCAAACTCAACCGGCACGATTAGATGCAATCTTGGAAGAGAAGGTTGTCCATTCTGGTCTTAATGAAGCCATTGAAGCATTTGCCTATCCTGCGTATAGAACTTCTTTTGAGGTTAGTTACGTTAATTAATCAAATTGATTCAGAAATAATGTTGGTTTTAAAACTCGATCACAATGATTAATATAATTGCTTTATATGTTAAAGATCATCGGAGGATATTCCAGCAACAGAGATGCACACTCAATAACCTTATCAGTCCTCAAGCTGCTGGCAAACTACTGGTGGGACGCAAAGGCGGTGATCACCTTCGCCGCCTTTGCCCAGCAATACGGCGAGTTCGGCCTACTTGCCCGCCTCTACCCCACCGACCCACTGGCAAAATCGGTGGCCACCATCGTTCAGATTCCGGACCTCTTGGAGAGCTCTGAATCGTCGAGAGCGGTGAGTTCTAAGCTCCGGGAAGTCGCCAAGCTGGCCGACAAAATGCTGGAGGTTACTCACAAGATTATTGCGTTGAAAGAGATTGGGTCAGAGGAAAAATCGCTGAAGGTGAAGTACAGGGTTAGTTTGTACAAGGAGCTTGCGGAATCTTTGTCGCCGGTGACGGCGGAGCAGGAGAATATAATGGCAAAGGCTTCGTATTATGTGGTGAAAGCCGCCGTGACTTGTTCACTGGTTATCCTCAACCTATTGGCGGTTGGACGAGAGTATGTGTTTTACCTTTTCTGTGAATATAATCACAGTTTTTCTAAGGCTTCATCAATTCATAATTTGTGATGTTTTAATGTTTTTTAGTTACTACTCCTCAACTGAAGAGGAGTTGGAGATATCCACTTTGACTCATAAGCTCAGTTACATACTGGGTGATCTACAAAAGGCGGTGCAAAAGTCTACCCAAGAAATAGGTATGTATGATAAGATTAGCCATGCAAAATGCATCTTTGGATGTATTATATAATCTTAATATTGGTTTTTGACATTATTGTTGGGATGCAGGGAAGATAAAGCACACAATCAAACGAAAAATACTTGAAGAAACCTTGGCTAGGACGCATACTGATAACAAGTACTCTGCCGAACTTATCATATGCGGTGAAAATGACCCTACCCCAATCATCCATGGAGCAGGACTTGAAATGAAAAAGGTTCCATTTAGTATATGTTATTAAACTAGATTACGTGATGATCTTTACGAGGTAAACTAATAATGTTTTGTTTTGCAATGTTAAATAATCAGCATGGACTTGATATTCTGAGGAGGAAGTATGTGTTCCTATTGGTATCAGATTTGGACATCCCCAATGAAGTCATCACTATGCTCCGCCATATGTATCTGGAATCAAAGCAAGATCCAAGCAGGGCAGAGAGTCAGTTCGAGATTGTGTGGCTTCCAATTGTGGACCGAAGATCGCCCTGGACTGGGGCTAAGGAAGACCAGTTCACACTGGTTAAAAGTAGCATGCCATGGTTTTCTGTGTCTCATCCTTCAAAGATCGATGAAGCAGTGTATGGGTATGTGAAGGAGGTATGGGGTTTCACCCACAAACCTCTCCTTGCTGTTGTGGATCCTCAAGGAAAGCTAACAAACGTCAATGCCCTCCCCATGTTTTGGATCTGGGGAAGTGTTGCATTCCCCTTCAACAAATTTAAGGAAGAATCTCTCTGGGATGAAACATCTTGGAGCATGGCACTCCTAGCTGACTCCATTGACCAAAACCTCTTTACCTGGGTAAGCATATATACTCTCTGTCAGGAATCAGGATTAAACGCTTACCATTATGCTAACAGAATGCTGGACTCGGCTCTCTATTAGTCCAAATACTATATTGTATATTTTCTTGATATATATATAAATGTTGTTGTGTATGATACAGCTGAATGATGGGAAGTACATATGTTTATATGGAGGAGAAGACATGGATTGGATTCGGAACTTCACAAAGAGGACAAGGTATGTGGCACAACAAGCACGCATCCCTCTAGAAATGCTGTATGTTGGGAAGATGAATGTAAAAGAAAGGATCAAAAGGAACAGCGCCGCCATACAGGAGGAGGGTCTGAGCAGCATCCTTCAAGACCCAACCATGATTTGGTTCTTCTGGGAGAGGCTAGAGAGCATGTGGTTCCTCAAAGGAGAAAAGACTCTTGCAATGCGCAGTGACGACGATAGAACTTACATTATCCCTGAAGAAAGCAGGGACCCCATTCTGCAGGAAGTGAAAGCGATCCTCAGCTACGACGGCAGCAATCGAGGGTGGGCGGTGTTTAGCA